AAGATACATCACTAGAGGTGTGTTATAAGTGTGCATCTATACATATACATGTGCACACACATACACATATACGAAACCAAAAGGCAACTTTGTTAGACACTTTTGGTGTGTCATATATACACAGATATGTGTCGTATACATATGTAGACACACACAGGTCTTGGGACCCAAATAGCAATTTACAACACTATGGTGGGCTCTGCCTGTAATTCCAAGCCCTTGGGAGGTGGAAACAGGAGGATCAGGAGCTGAAGGCCAGCCTGGGCTACATGAGACTCTGCCTCAACGTACCAAAGAGAGAGAGGAAGAAGAAAGGCGAGAGAGGGAAGAGAAAGGAGAGAGAGAGAGGAGAGAAAGAGAGAGGGTGAGGAGGAAGGAGGTAGGACAGAGACAGGAGGGAGAGGGGAGAGGAGGTAGGAGACTGGAGAGAGAGGAGAGGGAGCCAGACCGGGAGGTGGCCGGTCCTCACACCGCGCTCGCGGAACGGCCCCGCCCGCCTCTGTGACGTCACGGGGGAATCTGGGCAGCCGGAGGCCGGGCTGCGCCTGCTGGACCCCGCGGCGGCGGCGGGAGCGCGGTCCCCGCGGAGCCGGCATGAGCGAGGGCAGCGCTGGCGCCCCGGACCAGCGGGGCGCACACCCAGGTAGGACGGTGACGGCGTGCGGGGCCGCAGGCCTGGTCCCCTCCCGGGGTTGCGGGGAGGCAGGTGGGGCGGGCCAGCCCCTCGCGGCCTCCGGCGACGTCCCCTCCGGGAGCCGGGGTGGCCGCTGTACCTTCCACGCGGTGACCCCGACTCCAGACTACTGCCTTACCTGTTCCACGAAGAGACGTACAGCCCCGCCTCGCTCTCAGACTGGCCTGAAGCCCCTGCCCAGAGCAACCCTTTAGTCCCACTGGCGACCAGTTCTGCCTCTGGTCTTTATTGCTGTGTGAGTTTTGATAAGTGGTTTGCCTTCTCTGAGCCTTAGATTCTGCTATAAAATGATAATAGGCCAGTGGTGAGATTTGCTGAGAAACAGGTAAGTGCCCAGCACAGACAGCCCTGGCCCGTAGCCAGGCACAGCGCATAGCAGCTAGCCAAACACAGTGATGCTTTCTTTTCTTATTGTGTTTTACTTGCAATAAATTATACAGCTCCGTGAATTTTACATAAATATATAAAGCCATCTCCCAGTCAATATCGAAAAGCTGCCAATCCCCCAGGCAGGCTTCCTTGTAGTCTTTGTATTTTATTTGTTCTGTGCCCAGACCTCCTTGTGAATGTTATCTACAAGGGCTGTGCTTGCTTGTGAGACCCAATTAACAAAGGCTGGGGCTCAGCAACTCTCAGCAGTGTAGAGATAAGGCCTTGGGCCCTTCATAGTGGGTTATTCTCCACATCCAGAAGAAAAATCTAGAAGATCCCAAACTTTGGAACGTTCTCAAGAATCAGAAAGGAAAAATCGGATGATGCTCCATATTGTTCAGTATAAATATTGATGTTAGCTTAATTTCAGCCTTTTTGTAAATAGCCAGGAGCTGGGGGTGTGACTCAGTGGTTGACTTGCTGGAGTCCTCCAGTGAGGAGCCGGGGTGTGGCTCAGTGGCTGGTCTACCAGAGTTCCCCAATGAGGAGCTGGGGTGTGGCTCAGTGGCTGGCCTGCCAGAGTCCCCCAGTGAGGAGCTGGGGTGTGGCTCAGTGGCTGGCCTGCCAGAGTCCCCCAGTGAGGAGCTGGGGTGTGGCTCAGTGGCTGGCCTGCCAGAGTCCCCCAGTGAGGGCCTAGGGGCAGCTAGCTCAGGGGTTAGCCTGCCTAGAATCCTGCAGTGAAGGGCTGTGACTATGGCTCAGTGGTTGGCTTGCCTACTAGAATCCTTCACTGAGCCAGCTGCTAGGTGTGGCTTAGCAGTAGAGTGGTTATAGACTTAGGTCTGGATAGAAGAGCCCCAGCCCCCTTCCCCTTGGACAGGTACAAATTTATTGGTTTGTTTTTGTTTGTTTTCAGTACTGGAGATTGATCCCATCGCCTCGTGCTAGGCAAGCTCTCCCAATAACCTGCATTCCCCAGCTGCCTTTTTATTTTATTTTTTTTATAAAGTCTCATGTAGTCCAGGCTAGCCTAGAATTCCCTATGTAGTCTAGGCTTGCCTTGAGCTACTGATACCTTCCTGCCTCTGTCTCCCAAATGCTGGTGTGCACCACTACCTCTGGCAATTTTTTTTTGAAAGATCATCTTGTTAGGTTGTTGGCCTTGTTAGGTTGGTGCTCTCCTTCCTCAGCCTCCTGGTAGCTGGGATTATAGGCCTGTGCTGCCTGTCCTGGCCAGGTGCAGTTTTCTGACCTTGTAGCCACCAGTATGGGGTGGGATGACTCAGAAAGGACCTTGCTTGCAAAATTGTAGCATTCTAAACAGCATCTGCTCTATAGGCATAACGATAGGACAGGTGGGTAGGGTGTAGCAGGTAGCTGGCCATCCCTATAAGAAAACAACTCAGCTAATCAATTTATAAAATGGGAAGTGTTTCTTTTGGCTCACTGTTTGGAGGTTCTGGTCGTTGATTGGTTGGCCCTGTGGCTTTGGGCCTGTGGCCAGGCAAGACATCATGGTGGGAACCCATGGTGGAGAAAAATCTGCTCACCTTGAGGGACCAAGGAAGGGAAGGAAAGGAAAGCTAGAGGGGAAGGGCAGGCTCTAGTGTCTGCTTCAAGGACACACCGCAGTGACCTGAAGACAACCAGGGTCTCTGTCTCAGATCTTTATACCACAGCCTTCAGACTTGAAGACAAATAGCCACTTGACCTCTGATATTTGTTTTTCTCCCTTATCTGCTGAGCCCATTCATCCGCTAGGTGACCCACCATCCTTCTAGGTGTCTGAGGAGAATGGAATGTTCTGGACACAGCTGGAGTTTTCCTCAGCCCTTTTCAGGCAGAACTAGTTCTCTGGGGACTGGTTCTCAGCTATTTTTTGTGCTTCTGCCTGGAGCAGACTTCTGCCCAGCAACTGGGACCCAGAATAGGGGTGACTTTCTTGTTTGTTTTTTCAGGAAGTGAAGAATTTAGAGGGATAAAGGGGGGATATGGCTTTGTTGCAAGCTGGTTGCTTTATCTCAGGTTGGATTGTCATCAAGGTCTGGGGCACCCAGTGGAGGCTGGCTATGAAATGGGTACTTTCTCAGAAGTGGAGAGAGGGAGGAGAGCCAGCGCTAGCCAGGCCCTGCCTCTGGGAAGTTTGTGTGTTAACCAGACCGGTGGGTCCTTGAGACCACAGAGCTCCAGGACAATGGTCAGACACTAAGTCGGAGAGGGAAGACTAGGAAGAAAAGTCCAGGGAGGCTCCCTGCAAGGAAGGAAGTCACAGATGAGAGAGAGGGGAGGAGGCACCAGTGTGGATGGGGGCAGGGCCTCTGAGGTGACTGAACTGAGGATGGAAAAGGTGTTTGAGGCCTGAGCAGGAGACTTCACAGAGAGGAGACCACAAAGGCAGAGGACTGAGGTAGAGAAGGAGAGCTAGTTAGGAAATAGAGGGGAGCCAAGGTGGGAAGTGGAGGTATGAAGATCAGGAGTTCAAGGCCATCCTCAGCTACATAGCCAGTTTGATACTGGCCTGGGCTACGTGAGACCCTGTCTCAAAAAGCCAAACCCAGGGCTGGCAAGATGGCTCAGTAAGTAGAGGTGTCTGCTGCCAAGCCTGCTGACTTGAGTTTGATCCCTGAGACCCACATGATGGAAGCAGAGAACCAGTTCCTGCAAGTTGTCCTCAGACCCCCACAGCTGTCTCCTGACCTCCACATGCACATGCCCACTGGCATCCCCCTCATCACAATAAATAAATGAAATTAAAAGAAACAGAACCAAACCAACCAAACAAAAAAGGGGAGAGCCAGGCAAGGTGGGCCCACGCTGGGATCAGCAGGAGGCTGAGGCCCTTGTCCCCCCAAAACGCGGAGGGGGACCAAGGAAGGAAGAGAGTGGAGAGGAAGGGAAGATAAAGGAAAAGAAAGAAAAGAGAAAACGAGAAACGGACCCCTGCCTCTGTTCTGATTTCTGTCCCTCACTGGATGACACCCAGGAATTTCGACACAGCTGACCAGATGGTCTGCCCCTCTCCCTTTCTGAGAAGTGTCAGAAATGAAATTGTTTAAACTGTCCCCTGAAGGAGGCCTTAAGCCCAACCTCTTTGTTTGTGACCCAGGGAAGATCAAGGCTCTTTGATTGGTGTCTCTCCCAGCCAGTCCTTCATCTACACAGTGGACGGAAAAAGCCCTGTGTCCAAGGACAGAGCTCTGTGATAAGAAAAGCAACCAGACCAGCTGGTGCTCCCTAACATCAGACTTAGTTACAAATTTAAAATAGCATCTGCAGCAACTTGGCCCGGGCAGTTGGGACCTGTGTACCACTCTCTTCAAACGCATCTCTTTTTTTCTGCTTCATCAATACATTAGCTAACTTTCCTTCTCTCTCGACTGGTTCTGAAATTCTTTACTGTGATGGACAGCACTTGGTTTGAGGTCCCTGAGGCTCTGGGGGGACCCCACCCAGAATGCTCAGTGGGCGGTGTGGGGGTAATCAGTGATGGTGAACAGCCCCTGGTGTGTGTGAAGAGGCCTCACGTAGATCTTAGAGCAGCAGGGATGGCCGAAGTCAGGAGAGCAGGGGCCTGTTCTGAGGACTCAGCAGCCTGGCGCTATAGCTCGCTTGTGGATTCCAAGTTGTAGTTTTCTTCAGCTCTTCCCAGCAACTCAATGAAGTAAGGGATTTGCCCTCGTTAGTTTTCATTGTCAACTTGACTTCCCTGGAGTCACCGGGGAAGAAGGAACCTCAATTGGGAAATCGAGCAGATCAGACTAGCCTGTGGGCATGTCTGTGAAGGATTGTCTTGATTGATGATTGCTGTTGGAGGGCCTGGTCCACTGTGGGTGGCACCATATCTAGACAGATGAGCCTGGGCTGAATAGGAAAAGCTAGCTGAACCTGAGCCAGTGAGCAAGCCAGAAGGCCAGTGAGACAGGAAGCATCCTTCCTCCGTAGTTCCTGCCTCTAGGGTCCTGCCTTAAGTTTTCGTTCCGACTTCCATCAGTGATGGACTGTGACCTAGAAGTATAAGCCCAATAAAAAAAAACCTTTTCCTCTGGTTTTGGTCATGGTGTTTATCACAGGGACGGAAAGGAAAACAACAAAACAGGATTATTTGTTCATTTTTCCTCTTTGGAAACTGAGGCATGGAGAAGTTACTCAACTAGCCACTTGCTGTAGTTTGGATATGGCTTGTCCCCTAAGCACCTGTGTGTTAGAGGTTTGGTCCTCCGGGTGCTGGTATTAGAAGGTAATATGGGGCTAGAAGGTAATATGGGGCTCAGTGTTTAAGAGCACTGGCTCTTGCAGAGGACCTGTGTTCAATTCCCAGCTCTGGAATGGCAGCTGACAACAGTCTGTAACTCCAGTTCCAGGGGATCTGATGCCCTCTTCTGGCCTCCGTGGGCACTGCTTGGCATACATGTAGGCAAAACACTTATGAAATCAAAATATATTTTTTTAAAGTTTAAAAAGAAGGTAATGTGTTCCTTTCAGAGGTAGGGCTTAAGCTAGATGTGATGATCCTAGCACTTGGGAGGTGGAGGCAGGAAGATTAGAGTTCAAGGCCGTTCTCTGCTATATATTGAATT